GATGGATGGATGGATGGATGGATGGATGGATGACAAATAACGATGAAGGACCACACCACCTGGAGGATTACCACACCAGTTATCTGTGTCATAACTTTGGCCAGCATCAAATAATCTGGACTAGTGAGGTTCAGTCTAAATATAACAGCAGATAGTTGTAATGCTTTTAGGGGATGAAACTGTCACCTAATGATTTTATGTTATTTCCTAATTTGGATAATACATTACCATTTATTTGAAGGAGTATTTTTTGTGCATATTTCAAATTCTCTTTATGTGGCTTTATTCATGTGATATTCAATCTTGTGTACTGTGCTTTTTTCAGTAGAACTGGTTTGATATGAATTCTTGGTACAATAAGACATTCTTCAGCCACTTATTGGGCACTCATTGAAATAAAAAATTGTCTGTTATTGACTTTTTTTTAAAACTTTCTTTCATAGTTTTTCAATGTTTGTTGCACATGCAGTTTCCTAGAGGGTTAGACTTACAATGTAGTCTTTCACTCCTGCAGAAAACATTTTTCTTTGAAGGGTTCAACAGCTAGAGGGGCTTTTCCTCTTTCAAAGAGAAAAAAGGAAAAAAATGCCTCTACAGAAAGCTCACAATGGCACAGAAGCTCAGCATGATGGACATGCTGAGCTTCAGAGAGCATTGCGAGTGTGTGATTCTTAGAAAGACAGGGGTCAGCACTTGTGCTAACTTGTCAGGCATGGTGGGTAAAGCTTCTCTGGGCTGGTGAAAGCAGCATGGTTACTGAGTTTTCATGTCTTCCAAATTAAACCCTCAGTTAGAAATCCCATAATCAGAGTCATGTCTCCCTCCCCTCGCCCCAAACCAGTCAGGACAGATGGCTGCCCCTCCCTGTGCCCAGTTCTGCAGGAGGTTTCTTCCTGTTAAAAGAGAGTTTTTCCTTCCCACTGTTGCCAAAGTGCTTGCTCATATATTATTATTGTATGGTCTTTACCTTACAATATAAAACACATTGAGGTGACTTTTGTTCCAATTTAGCACTATATAACTACAATTGAATTGAATTATTATAGTCTTCTTGCCAGTGGCCAGCAAGAGGGACCAAATGTCTAATTTAGCTTTTTTACCTTGATATAAGTTATGTGAAGCCTGGCCCTTGCTTGTATCTGCTAATCTTAACCCCATTCAAAGCTCCACTAAGAAATTCAACCGTAGAGTGTCTTGTTGTACATTCTCAGAACTGCTATCTTAGACCCAAACTTCTATTTTTTTTTCTTTGATATTCGACAGAAAAAAGCACATTTGCAATGCAGCAAAATAAAAGAGAAAAGAAAAGAAAAAACAGTGGACCTGGTTGTGATAAAAAGCCTGTGTGTCTTTCATTATGGGGTTGCTGCTTTTGGCGGCATGCCCAATCTCCTTTTCCCTCTTTCAATCTCCTCTTCCCTAGACCAATCTCTCCCTCACACTCATAAAAGTCAAAATCCTACAATTACTGTATGAAGCGCCATGGGGCGAGCTCGCAGAAATCCTTACAGCTGGTGACAACCTGTCCTCTCCCTTGCTTTTACTGCCTCCGTGTGTATTTCCTTCCCGTTTTTATGCCTCTCCCTCCCTGTTTTGTACCTTTCTTGCTATCTGCTGACCTGACCTTCACTCTGACTCTTGGACCTCCTCCCTAACATCTTCCTCTGTGAATCTATTTCTTCCCACATTCCAGGAATTTTTTAGTAAGATATGAAAACCACAATTATCACAGCTGCCAGATACTATCAGCTTCATCCCTTAAAATCTCGAGACAATATGTTATGCTTCACTCTCTCTCTCCTCCTCCTCCTCTTCTTTTCCCACCCAAGCATAACTTCCCCTCTTCCTCTCCTATGCCCCCCGTACTTTGTTAAATCTCTTCCTTCCACTTGCATTTTTTTATGTCCATCTCAAACAGTCTGTTACTTTTACTGCTTTTCCTTTCTTTCTCTTTGTCCCGTTCCTCGTCCCCACCCATGGGCATTTTCAAGGTGGTGACAGTAACAGATAAAAAGGGATGGAAAAAGAAACACATAGACTCGGGTGAGGGGCACACGCCCAAGTCTGGAGTGCTGAGGTCACCAAAACCAGACTTTTTCCCATAAGTGAGTGTGGGCCTCACTGCAAGATCTATGCAGTCATTGTGTTTCTTAACCATTTCCTGGCCTTGGGAACTTTTTTCACATGATAAGTAAGAAAAAAACACATTCTTGAGTTGTTCAGTCACAAAGGAGGTGAATAAAACAGGGATTTTAGGTCATTTTCACAAATAGGGGGGAAGCTCGGATGTTTCCGTTCATTAAAAGAAATTTAAAACATCTACTTAAAAAAAGGGTTTCCTTGTATTCCCTGGTTTAATTAGACTGAACGTCAGGGATAACCACATAAATGTACTTAACTGTGCATGCATTATTGAAAGCCTGTTCTTGGAGGATTACATTTTCAGTGACATGAAGCTAAATAAGAGCAAATTCCTGTGTTTCTAGAGGACAGTGTGTTCCTGGATAACGAGGAGGAGAGGAAGGAGTATGTGCTGAATGACACTGGGAGGATTTACTACGGAACGGAGAAACAAATCGGTGCTCGCACGTGGAATTTCGGACAGGTACAAGCTATGAAGAGCAAGCTTGGTTTCTAAGCTATCATTACACGATTATGACCCTGTGGCACTTACCCTGTTTGTTCCTGCTGAAGATGGAATTATTTTAAACTGTTCCCAGTACCTATATTTTCATTGTGTTTTTCAGTAGCTGGTAATTTCTGTTTAAAAACAAAATGTTTTCATTTTTTTTTTACAGTATTCAGTGTTCACAGGACAATTCTCCAAACTTTGGTTTCATAGTGAATTTTTTTCTTCATTGTAGTTTCATGAGGGAATCCTGGAAGCATGTCTGTTTATCATGGAGAAGAGTGAAATGCCGCCATCTGGTCGAGGGGATCCGGTCAACGTGGTCAGGGTCATATCTGCCATGGTGAGCTAATATACAAAAGATAGATGTTTTTTCTAGAAAAAGTAGGGAAAAAATACAGGAAATGCAATGACCGTGTCACTGTGTCCTTTTTAGATAAATGCTCAGGATGACTACGGTGTTCTAGTTGGAAACTGGTCAGGTGATTACTCTGATGGAGTCTCACCTACGGCGTGGAGCAGCAGCGTGGAGATCCTGAGGAAATACCACTCGACCAATGGAACGCCTGTGTCATATGGACAGTGCTGGGTCTTCTCTGGGATCACTACAACAGGTGATTATGAGGAAAAAAACATTAAAAAGGAAGGGTGCTGGATGGCTGAGAGAAAGTTAAGAGTGTGTCTGTGGTGAAACCTTAAACTTTAGTAGGCAGTCGCAAGCCTTAGAAGGCATGCGAATGGATTGTACTGTATGTTCGGCTTGTGTGTGTAAAAAAGCTGCAAAGAATACCCAAGAGTGGGTCTTGGTGTGGATGTCAATTTAATTACAAATCCACAAATTTATTATAATCATGGCTTTTTGTCAGTCTGTGTCTTTGCATTAGCTCTCACAGTAACTCTGTCATAGAGCACTTCATATTCACTGTGTGTGCATCCAGGGAAGCTTGCATGATAGCTAGCTGACCCTAGCACATAATATTGCCCCTGACAGCAAGTCATAGCTTTTATGCACTCCAAATACCTTGCATTGGCATTCTTAACATACCATCTATATTTGTCACAGATAGAGCCACATGTGTTGCTTTCATTCAACCAGAATAATGAAATTCCTTGCTGCCTAAAGTATTACCATCTGAAAATCTAACTCAAGTATCAAATGGCCTTGCAGAAATAAATTTTAATTGATCTATTTATATCTGTGTCTTTGGTTTTAGTGCTGCGCTGCCTTGGCATTCCTTCCCGCAGTGTGACCAACTTCCAGTCAGCACATGATACCGACGTATCCCTTACTACAGATGTATACCTTAATGAGAATTTGGAGCCAATTGACTATCTCAATAGAGACTCTGTTTGGTAAGATATAGAGCTTTACGTAGAATGGCATCCTGCCATGAAAATCATCTAAACCTAAGCTAAAGAAATGTTCTAAAATGTTCTTGAAAATCCCCAAGTTGAAATTTCTTTTAAAAGTGCATAGGATTGTCTTGTATCTATGTGTTCTTTTATGCTGTATTACTGGTATCCTACAAGAGCCCTTAGACATTCTGTCTGCATTTTCCATATCCCTATAACTGCCTGAACACCCGTTCACTATAACTGTGGAACAGGGCACATGTTGTGAATGTAGCTAATGTAACAAAAACTAAACCCATATCCTTAATTCCTATTAAATTGTTAAGATGTGTTTCACTTCTACAAAAATTGCCAGCTATGTTTAAAGTCAGTAAAATATATCTACAAATGCCACCAAAAGTCTCTAATGAACACTTTGCATTTTATACAAAAAATTAAAGTGTAAAATTGTGGCATATAAACAAGCTAACTGCTTTATGCTAAGCTAAGCTAACTACATGCTAATTGTATTATTATATTAACCTAAAAGGAACAGTTTAATTTACTTAAATTCAAAATACCTAAACTCTGTCTAACTGTAGGAATTTCCACGTATGGAATGACTGCTGGATGGCCAGACCAGACTTACCTCCAGGTAATGGAGGCTGGCAGGCCGTAGACGCCACTCCCCAGGAAACTAGCCAGGGCACCTTCCGCTGTGGCCCTGCTTCTGTGAACGCCATCCGCTCTGGCCATGTCTACCTTAAACATGACACGCCGTTTGTCTTTGCTGAGGTGAGTGCGTGTTCTTGAACTGAACTCTTTGTTGTTTTGCATGTACTAGATATAGATATGTAAGAATTTCAGAAGTGGTCTTTGCAGCTTGAACCGTCAGCAAAAGATGAATCACGTAATCATATGTAAAAAGGGTAACCTGTTCTGTTTGAGCTTATTGTGTTTATTGGTATTTTTCTGGCAGGTCAACAGTGACAAAATTTACTGGCAGAGAAACCTGGACGGCACATTTAAACAGATCTACAGTGAAAAGAAAGCTGTCGGCCACTGCATCAGCACCAAAGCGGTGGGCTCTGATAAGCGGGCAGATATCACATCCTTGTACAAACATGAAGAAGGTACTGGCAGCTTTTTTTTACTTGTCTAATTGTAAGTCTACCTTAGACTGATGTTCCAGAAACAGACAGAATCATTTCTGCACCACCTGGAAATATCTTAATAAGCAGTGATTTAGTCCTGTCATTCTCTATAGATCATTTTGTTGAACTTATTCAACCCTCATCAACTGTTCACCTGCTCTCCACAATTCTTTAAATATAGCTCTCTGTTTGTTTTCATTGGAAAGACTTTGCACCATATCTCTTGCATATGTCAGTAAATCCTGAAACCTCTGACAGAATGAGGTGCACTTACATTCTCCTCCCTCTACTAGATTCAGAAGAAGAACGCATTGCAGTAGAGACTGCAAGTCGCTATGGCAGCAAGCCAGATGTCTATTCCACACCAGTGGCAGAAGATGTGTCAGTGGAGGTAAAGGTGGATGGCGAGGGACCCAGGGTGGGTGCTGATGCCCAGTTGAAAATTCTGGTGAAGAATCTAAGCTCACAGCCCCGCCAGGCAACAATCCACAGCCAGGTGGCTGTCATGTACTACACTGGAGTGCTGAAGGGCACCATCAAGAAGGAGCAGATGCCTGTGGAGCTTTCGCCTAATGAAGGTTGGATTTCGAGCTCAATTATGAAGCTGCACTATCTATGTAGGGTTTTGGTCTTAGTCGTTATTGTCAAAACCTCTTCAGTACAATTTGATGTGAAATTAGCAACATCTAGGCCCAGTTAGAGTAAAAAAGATGATACGTTTTGGCGCGATTAGGAGAGCCTCACCTCTGTGATTAACAATTGCTACCTTTTGTTTGGATTTTCGCTTGCTTATCAAGACTGGTTTCAAACAAACCCAAGGGTGAAAGCTAAAACGCTAAACTCAAGGCTTTAAAACAATAGGACAAAACTTCCATCTTTTAGCTCTTGCTGCTCTCGCATCACAAAAAAAAAACAAGTTACTAAAGGTCTGGAAAACTTTATTCATAAATGAAAGGTAGATGATGTGAAATACTAACATTTTATGTCATGTTCAATTAAATTAGTTTGTTAAACAATTATTTTAATCTAAAAAGTGTTAAAGTAAATAAAGGCTAAGAAGATAAAACTGTGTGATACTAAATCAAGCAACAGTCATTTTATTACTCATAACTGCAGCTCTTTGTTTAGCTGTGAAAAAAGATAAGGTAACAAGAGTTTTGTTAATGCACAGTCATGAAGAAAATTGGGGACAGGATCATTTTTAATCAAACTGAAACCTGAAGTGGAAAATCAAACTTATTTTCTGAAACCTTTACATTGTGCTTAGGCTAGGCTAGCTCGTCCTGTGGGAAGTTACTTGAGCCAAGCTAACTAGCAGCTAGCTGCTGTTCCAAAATGTCTAAGCATTCATTTAAATTGAAAACAACAACAACAAAATTTGCTTTTTTTCCCATCACATAGAGAAAACCATTGACTGGGTCCTGCCCTACCAACAATACCAGAGCCAGCTGGTGGATCAAGCAGCCTTCATGCTAACCCTGTGTGGAAGAGTCACTGAAACGAAGCAAGTGCTAGCTAACCAGACAACTTTCAGGCTTCGCACACCTGACATCACCATCACAGTAAGATTTCATTTTCCCCCCCTTATTCATACAGTGAGCATTATTTTAACACAACATGCATAACATTTATTTCTATTAAAGGTATCCCTCTTGACTAATTTAACTCTTTCTCTGGCAGCCTATTGGAGACGCCGTTGTTGGTAAAGAGATGGCTGCCAAGATTACTTTCACCAACCCCCTGCCATCTACACTGAAGGGAGTGGTGTTCAGAGTGGAGGGCCTGGGCCTTCAGGAGGGCCATGAGGTGGTCGTGGGGTAAGAACAAGTCTTTCTCTTTTTTGCCTCCCTTTCTCTTCCACTAACATTTTTGTGTCGAGACTAACGTTTCATTTCATCTTGCCCCTCTCAGTGACGTCGGTGCCCACTCCAAAGTGACGCTAACAGAGCACTTCATCCCCTCCCAACCTGGACCCAGGAAGCTGGTGGCGTCCCTCGACTGTGAACAGCTTTCACAAGTGCATGGAGTGGCTGACATTGTTGTTCTTGAACAATGAAAGGCACCACAATGATCAGCTTCTCGCACAACACTTATTTCTTATAAAATATCAACTGACAATGCCTCATCATATTAAGTGTGCTAAGTTCCCGTATCTTGAGCTATACTGTTTGTTTTTTTATTGCAGAAAATGTTTAATTTTTGATATTCATAAAACTATTAATAGATGATTTACTGTAGCATTATCAGTATTACTACTATTTTTACATTTTAAATAACAGAAATTCACACTTGTGTCTTGCTGTGGAAGAATTGTAATAGACGTGTGACAAGGTGCTTTTTGACTAACAAGGGTTTGTATCCTTAGACTTCTAAAACAAGTCCATTTGAAGACACTGAACAAAACCTGTGAAGGTGCAGAAAGTCAGGCAACATTGAGCTAATGTAAATATTATATATGTTGCTAGTCATAATGTGAAAACCGTTGTCTGACAAAATGAACCTCACATGGCTTATATGAAGGGAGGGAACTGTGACGTGCTTGGAAAGGGAACGATGCTGACTTTGGCAAATGTAACGTTTAAATGTACCAATTCAGAAAACAGAAAATGATGTCGTCTGCAAGGACACAGATTACCACTTATTTCAACTGTCAAATGAAATGAAAAGTCCGCCTTTATTAAAAACCCAAACCCCTCAAATGTCTGCATATCCGAAACGAGACCATTTATCTACTTGGAATGTTTTGGGTTTTCTATCATCTGTGCTGTGTCTTTAATAAAAGTCACACTAAAATGATGTTGCAGCTCTTTATTAAACAAGCCTGTGCTGGTTAAATCCGATGTAAGCCTCTCAGAGGAAACAGGAAACTTTCCACTTTTGCAATTGAACAATGTTTTATGGTGCAAAAAAAAGAGAGTGACTAATTTCAGCCTTACAAATTATGGTGGGTGACACACCTTTACTGCGTTTCACCAATCAGGATGAGTAATGTATTCCCAGGTACTTAAAGCTGACTGTGCTAAGGCAGTGGCTCATAGTTTTAGCATTCTTTACAGAGAAATACTGCGCCCTTTCTGTCACTCGACTTGTTTAACAGCTCTAATTTGTAGCTCTCTTTCACATTCAAGGCATTAGAAAATGTACGAGTTCATAAAGGAAGTAATCGCTGTCATTGAAGCCATCAGAGAAAGATGTCAGATCCTATTCCTTGCAGTGCTATGAACTCACGTATTTCCTGAATTCCAGTTCATCAAGCATTGTGACGGTGGGCTTGTAGGACAGTTTGAAGTGGAATTTGAAACATTTTAAAAACTCAGGTTTTAAAATTCATCTGAATGTTAATGTAGCGTATAATGTCCCGGTAATTATAGTATGCCAAAAAGAGATGGAATAACAGTTTTACCGTTTACTTTATCACAGATTTGATGATGTAATATTACCTTTCACATTAATACAATGTTATTTTTTAAATTTTATGTTTTATAGTTCTGCATTCAGGCACAATTTTTATTACTTATCACACAAAATTATAAGTTTAAGATTTTTAAAAGTAAAGTAAGAAAAGTAAATGTAAAAAAAAGTTACCTTTTATAGCTGTTAATCAAGTTTTGTGTTTAGATTTATAATTTGTTATACTTTTGATGTTACATTTTTTCTTAACTTATTACCACCTTCAAACACGGTACAGAAATATATATAAAACTGTATTTTTACTTAATCAACTTCTGATTTATCACAAGTGTTATGGAACTTTTACCAAATATACTTTTTTCTTCAGTTGCATTTATTTTTATGCTACATTTACTTTACAGGTTAATTTAAATCTATATACTTGTAAGTTTTACAGTTTTAAACGGCTGTTCTAACAATTGGTAAATATATATTTTTAAGTGACTTTCTCATTTGATATTTATAATTCATATCCATTCATCAATTTGTCCATTTGGAGTCGCAGACAGGGGTGGATAGGGTGTAGCCTATCCCAGCATTCACTGGGTAGGTGGTGGGTACACCCCTGCCGTGAGGGAACAATGCTAACTGCTATACAGTGCCACTGATGGGCAAAACCCACTGAGAGTATAAAACCTAAAAAATATGCCAGCTGTCACTGCCCCCTGCTGGCGGGGCAATAAAGTGCATCACTCGTGGGTAGTTTAAATAAGCTTTTACTGGTTTCATTTTACAAAATACAGCTGATTGATACATGAGGAAGACATTAAGAGCAGGGATTAAAGAAAAATTGTCAGGCACATATTGAAGTGTGAACCGGGAATCATGTGGCTGATGGGTAATAAATAACACATCCATAGCCGTGTGCGTGTTCCACTGAGTGTTAAAGGAATATGACAACCCAGTATATTTCGGCACTGGCAGTTCTGTTAATGCTCTTCATGAAAATGTCAAAAATAAATGTAAATAACACTAAAAACCCCTTCTAACAAATATAAGAGTTTTACTGGAATAATAATAACAACAACTTGTTACAATAATAATAATAATAAAGAAACTACAATCAAAATCATGGCATTTCAATATGCAAACCCACCCAGCATACTTCACATGCAAAAGTGCCAGTGCTAAGACCATCGCTACTTTTTCTTAACAAGTTCAGTCCAAAAACATGTCAGTTCACAGATTTACAAATATTTTCAACAACTCTGTTGAACTCCCCTGGTTGATCTGCATACACGTGGTGGGAGGCTTCATTTATCAGCTGCACAGAGGAGCAGATAGGAGCAGTCAGCAGGAATGTACAGCAAAGTTGATTTTAATTATATTAACATAACATTAAGCTGAATTAGACTCATATGCTTGTCTTTGTGTTTCTATGGATGCAAATGTGTGTGTCTCTACTTACCAGCACTCTGGTGTTGGAGTGGTTCCTAATCTGAGCCATTTTGTATCCGGATGAGCTGTCCACCCAGGACTGTGCTCCATACAGCAGAGTGATGGGCATGGAGGCGGGCAGCTGATGAACCCGATCCAGCATCGGCCTCTTAGCCCATCCCAAGGACTCCGTCATGGCCCTGAAACCCACCTCTCCACTTGGATGGAGGAAGAGAAAGAGAAGGTTGTCACTTCTCTCTAATCAGAATCGCATTTTTAATATGGAGGGGGGGGGGTGTTTCTTCACATACCTTGGTGTTTGTGCGTTACAGTGGTAGATGTACTGGGTCATGGTGTCGTCATCAAACAGATCTTCAAACTTCCTTTTGAAATCAGGACGGAATCTGTTCACCAGGCCCGGACCTGGATGCAGAACACGTTGTGAGAAGAAGGTCGCAACATTACGCGTGCCACAGCGCAGCAGCAGAACGATGTTCGCACTTCTTACCCAACGGTCCCGCTGCTCTAATCACAGCAAGTGGGTTGAAGAGGGTAACGACTGCTAGGATAGCCTTGACCCAGCGGGGAGGGGACGGCCTCTTCACCACATCTGTCCCCTGGCCCTGCTGGTTCTGGACCTTGGGTCGCTCTGGAAAACCCCAGGGATCTACCAGGATAAGGTGTGATACTCTGTGAAAAAGAAAGCAGAATATAATCACGATAACATACAGCACGATGTATTAGTATGAGTCGCCAGCTCATTTATAGAAAAAAGTCACGAGTTGGTAAAAATGAAACATTACAGTAGAAATAACTGATGGCTGAGACTGAAGCAACACAGTACAGTTTCAAGCTTTAACACAATAACAGGCTGTAAAAACAAAGGGAAGCTGATGAGGCTGGTGATAGTTTTCACATTACAGACAGTAACGTGACCCGCTGTTAGCACAACAAATATTAGTCAGTGCAGATTTAAGTTTAATTTGCTAAAAAAAATAAATGTCATTTATATTGATGTCTGACATAGTCCAGTTGGAGGCATTCATCACAAAGAGGACACACTGTGACTATAAATTGATGGACATGGTCGACAGAGTGTTGGATGGTTGCTTAATTGACACTAAACGCCTGCCCAGAAAATATCCCCAACATCATTAGAACAGCAGCAGCAGCCTGAACTTCTGACACAAAGGAGAACGACCCCAAGCTTTCATGTTGTTTATGTCAGATTCTGACCCTAACACCGAATCTCAACAAACAATTTTCCCGTCTTTTATCCTGTCCAATTTTGGTGAGCCTGTGTGAAGATGCTCTTCTGGATATTTTGTAACAACTGTTTATTTAGTTACTGTGACCTTCCAACAACTCAAAGCAGTCTGGCCGTTCTCCTCTGACCTCTGGCATCAACGAGGCATTTTCTCCCAGAGAAGTGCCGCTCGCTGGATATTCTCTTTTTTTTGGACCATTCTCTGTTAACCCCAGAGGAAAAAAATTCCCAGAAGTAGCTTTATCTAATAAATTTACTGCTGCCCATTTGGACCAACCATGCCACATTCAAAGTCACTTAAAACATCTTTCTTTGCCATTTTGAGGTTCCGCGCATTATCTTGACCACGTCTGCATACCTGAATGTGGTGATTTGCTGCCATGTGATTGGCTCATTAGAGTTCTATTAACAAGAAGCTGAAGAAGTGTACCTAATAAAGTGGACAGTCAGATTATACTTTGGAAACTGTTGCTTTCTTGAGGACAGTGATATAAGATGATTTGTATACTGTTCATATCTATACAGTACCATTAAGCTACATCCAGCCTTTAATAACATAACAGGTTTATCATGTTGCTATGGCCACGCCTGGTTAATATTCAACATGACACATGTGACGCACGTAATTCAAATACTAGTGACTAATGTAAGCCACAGGTAATTCTGACCATAGATGATGGACTGCGTATTTCATCAGCTTTCTTACCTAGATGGATACTGAATGGCATACGAGGTTGCCAGGTAACCCCCCAGGCTGTGTCCCAGCAGAATCATGTTCTCCAGGCCTACAGACTGCCTCCACTGTTCAATGGAGTCCACAAACTGCTCCTCTGCCTCGGCAGCATCTGAAGGGAAGGGAGGCCTGGAACTCCTGCCAAAACCAAGGAGGTCAAACGCGTAGACGGGCCTTGACCGGCTCAGGGCGTCTAGGTTCCTGATCCACAGACCCACCCCTCCTCCAAAGCCATGAACCATTACCAGTGGAGTCTTAGGCACTACAGGCAGCACAGGAACAGGAAAGAATGATGTATTACGCCATTGTTATGACAATTCATACTTTACAGCTATGTCTGCTTATAATCAAACAAAGAATACGAAAAGGGGAGCTGAGATCTCTACCTTGTTCTACAGGTTTGCGAACCGCCTTGTTGGTGATGGTCAGAGTCCATATCCGGTACTGGTTTTGTAGGGTCACAAATCTGGCCCATAGATCATTCTGAATACCTGATGTTACCAGACAAGGAGGGATAATCATTATGGTTAAAGCCTTAAACAAAAACAGTTATATATCATTTCCTGTTATGTAATCACCCAGCTAATATCAACATATCCTTACAGGCAAGAATCTTAGATTCAGTTGTCTTCAAAAGGGACATGGAGGTAGGGCGCCAGGAAGGCCACCAGCTCCAAGCTGAACTTGTCCTGACGAGGACAGAATGAGAGAAAGACATTTGAAGAATGAAGGGATATTAGATAGTGGAGTAGAAACACAATACAAATTCCTCCGATGCAAAACCAAGCAAGTAAAATCAATGTTATCACTATTTGAAATGCAAATAATGTTGCATAGATAATGCACTTGACACTTGAGTGGTACAGAGCCAGAGCCGAGAGTCACGTTTCATCATGCTGTTAATCAAAGTCAGACTTGTAGGACTGATGGTGGTGGGGTAAATCCTGGTTACCTCCATTCTTATTAGCATTCATTTTTAGAATAATAGATTTTTTTTCTACACTGAGGTACCAAAAGGACAGGATCGCGTTTCTGCTTCTGTCATCATTACATCAGGTACATCCCAGGAGCTTTTCACCTATTCACCAATCAACAAGGCAGTTTAGCTTTGCTGAGTCATTTTGATAAGTCACACTCACCCCTGTTCCTCCTTTTTTGTTGTCAGCCAATAACAAGTAGAACGCACCTGTTAGCCAAGAGTGCAGGTGACACTCCAATAGAGTCCTACCTACCTTATGATTACCTTATTAGACCTACCTTCACAAGTCAACAGTAGACTACACTTACCATCATTTTACTATAACTTTGTATGTCTTTGTTACTTAAAGCTAACTGTTAAATAACTTTCTGCCATACTAGTATTTGCCTTTATGTTTCCAAGAGTAATTTCACACAGAACGTGCCAAAGACCATGGCAACATCTACATTTTACATTAAAAGAAGCTAGAGACCGATTCACAAACAATGACACAGCACAGTCTTACAGTTCATCCCGCCCAGAGCCCAAAACACGTCTGAATACAGAAAGTCTTCCGAGATTTAAGTAACATATGATTAAAGGCGACTAGCAGCGTTTTGTGAATGGTTGTATTCGGCTGCATTAAGCTAAGTTACTTACTCTGTTTCACAATCGTTCTGCACAGGTGCGATGGTCGCAGGGTTATCCATTGGTGGGCATATTCCGGTGACTACATTCAGTCTGATCACGTTTGATAACACGCTCTGTCTCCTCTGCTTTCAAGTTACACTCAGCTGCTGTATGCTAATTTCTAATGTTTTGTAACAAGTACATTCCTACGTCAGCTGATCAAACACAAAGATCGTCTCTCGAAATGATGCTCGAACTGTACGAAAAAAAAGTCACACGTTCGGGGGTTGCGATTAGGGGTGGGTTTTAATAGTATAAATACCAATACTACGGTTGGTACTGATACTCTCAATATTTCTACTTTCTTCCTCCATATCCTTTCTTTTTTTTTGTTGTTGCTATTATCTACTGTGCTGACCACCACACAGCCTGAGGTCACAAATTAAGCCATAAAAAAAGAGAGCAATAACAACTTAATATCGTTGCAACTCAAGATAGCAGCAGAGAAAATCATCTGTCTTATTTTTACATCTCCGTGCTCTACTCTGTGTGTCTTGGCTTTTCGTTCCGATTTGGTCGGAACGTATAACGTGCAACACCACGTCCGTTTCCGGTTTATTGGGACACGTCACTTATTCGACCGAGGAAAAGGTTTCGTGCAACAAAATCCTGAGTAATTTTCTGCTAATTAGACGGCCAAAATCATGTCGAACTCAGTGATATCTGTTATTTCTCGGTTTCTGGACGAGTACGGCACCACGACGCCCAACAAACTCAAAGTGGTGGACGCATATCTGCTGTACATCTTGTTAACTGGAGCCCTGCAGTTCCTCTACTGTCTTCTCGTCGGCACCTTTCCATTCAATAGCTTTCTCTCGGGCTTCATCTCTTGCGTGGGTGCTTTTATTCTCGCAGGTAAGTGTTTATTCGATTAAACGTGTCGCTGGTTATTTTATTTTATTTTATTTTTTACAAAAAGGGGTTATCCAGAACGTGTACTCAGGCACAAGTTAGCTATCTATGCTAAACTAGTAGCGTGACTTCAGTTAATATTAAAACGAAATGAATACACGTGTTTCCCGAGTAGCTCTCTGGGTGGCATTGGTTCATTATTTTCAAGGCTGCACAGATGCTTATTTTGCACCTAGAAAAATGTGCTTTAAGCAGTTTTCATACATTCCCGTATTCCTGAACCTTTCAGAACTGTCCACCGCAGGTGCATGGAAAGGCCATGGACTCAAAGACTAAATGTTAGATGGTCACACAGTGATTTGGACCATTGACTTGTAGGCTCCGCATATACAAGCCAAAATATTACGTTTGTCCTCTGCCATATTTATTTATTTATTTTGGTAAAGCCAACAATCACCTTATTTGGATGATGGCATAGTGTGCTAAAATATTAGCCAACACTAGCAAGCTTGGTTCACACTGTTAGCGTAAATAAGCACATTTTAATCAAGTAATAAAATATCAGAATTAAAAATATCAGAAATAAAAACAAACCACAAACCAAGTCTATTTTGAATAGGCTCGTTTGTCAGGTAATTCCATTAAAACAATAAAAGTTCATCTGTAATTGAGACAGTGTGTAGGGTTACGTTTAGTTGTATATGAGGACGTTTTTTCCTCCGACACTGTCGGCCCTTCAGGTGTGCAGAGATTTTGAATTGGTTTTCATACGTTTTTTATTAAAATGCTCAAGGTACCAAAAGCACAAACATGGTGGAATGTTTTATAATACAGATGGAGATGGGGGGGGGATAACAAAAAACCCCACTGATTAGCTGCTGTGAAGGGGAACCCATGCATAGAAGCTAAAAAAGTTTTTTGTTCGGTGCTGTAAACTTTTTACCTCTTTGTCCTGAAAAGCTGATGCGGGCACCCATGTTTGTGAATGTGAAAACTCGAGAATGAAGCAATTTTATCAATTGAAAATCTTGTGAATGTGATAACTTGAGAACAAGTTGATGTAGGATTTTGAAATTCATTCCATTGGTGCATCTAGTAAGAGGCTGAGGGGTATCCCTGGCTGACAGCCAGCATTCTGTTTAAAAAAAAAAAATACAGTAAAATTCGGGATTTTAAGATGGGCATTGACTTGCTTTTGGAGCCAGCCTTAAGTGGCCATTAGTATCAATTCACTGATTTATTTGTAGAGCTGTCGGCATTGGCATTTGTAATGGACGATAAATACAATTTTTAAAAATACTGATTGGAGAAACACCCTTCACCATGTTAGCTTCAAGCTGGATTGACCTGAGTGTAAAGAAGTAAATACATATGTACACCTAGCATATGTTAGTGGAAATTGTTTATTTTGTCCATCTGGAAAAACATAAATACATAGGCTCATATATCTGTATATCTAGCCATTAGAAGATCTGCCGTTGCTGCAACCACCAGAGGTTTATGTTGGTGAACTCGAATTTCTTTTTCTGTCAGCTGCTTGTTGTTTGTGGCATTACAAACACACATGATGCTAACAGGAAGTTGGAGAGTGCCCTCTGGTCTACACACTATGTAACATCAGTAATCATAACATGATTGAAGGGTGTTTCTCCTATCAGTACTTTATATCAGATTTTCATATATTGTCAGGTATGAAATCCAAAACCAATGGCTCTTCAAATGGCTACTAGAAGTCAGTAATTTAAGCCCATTGATAAATCGGTTGGCATCTACAACTCATGTTGGACATTAACAAGTACGAGAATTTAATTGGTTTATAAATGTGATGGAGGTGTGGTGTTTTTAGGATGACAAAAATGGAGAAATTATCAGTCTGCATTGACCAATCAGCTATTCAGTGAATTATTTCAGCTATACTGCATAGTGTCTGTGCTTCCTATTTCCATCTAAATGCAAAAACAGGTAACGAGCTGAAAATTTTGAAAAAATTAGGCTGTCTGACTTTTGGTGTTTAACTACTAAACAACTAACCCTAATATTAAAACTATTAAATTATCATGGGGAAAAAAAACTCCGCTGTAGCCCCACTGCAGTTGTGCATTGACAAGTGAAAAAGGTACATGCTGATACTTAATCCCTTGTTTGTTTTTCAGTGTGTCTTCGTATCCAGATCAACCCACAGAACAAAGGAGATTTTCTGTCCATCTCCCCAGAGAGAGCCTTCGCCGACTTCCTGTTCGCTCACACCGTCCTCCATCTCGTTGTGATGAATTTCATTGGCTGAGGCAAACATGTAAGTGCGTCTAAGTGTTCCACGATGAGAAACTGTAGAAATTGTACAAAATATCCAAACTAAATCTGCCATATGTGTCTGTGGATATTGAGTTGTTTTTGTCAGTGAAAAGTAAACAGATATATTGTCCTTCAGGTGCTCTGTCACATTAGACGTTATTGCCAGTTCGTCACTTCATTCTCTGTGGAACAGCACAGCAGATAGTACATGTGATAAGATGCTTCTCTGAGGACTACATGATGACACATATTGCTTTTGCTTTACTAGAAAATGGTGATATTGAATTTTTAGACTTGCTGCTGGCTGGGAAGGTCACAATGTGTCATTTCTTTTTTTGCTTTCATAACTTTGCTGTCTCACACAAACGCCGCGTCCTTTGTTTGTTTTTTCTTCTACAGATCACGACGAGAAGAAGTTATTAAACTCCCCGCTGATCTGGACTATCCCATCCTCACCGAATAAGTCAGATCTGGTCACATACGATGCAGTGCTATTTTTTTTTTTCTTTCTACTTTTATGGAAACATTTTTTATGTAAACATTTGTCCAGCATTCCCTTTTTTTGCACTGACACAAAGAAATTAAAAACAACTGAAATGGTGGCCTTGTTAAACAGTGGTTGACTCTATCTACGTGTGTGTGTGTGTGTGTGTGTGTGTGTGTGTGTGTGTGTGTGTGTGAGAGATATAATTTTTTTTTTAATGTAATTAGATTTAACAAGTAGCTAGGTCTGTGATTGATAGCAAAACGTGCTATGTTGATGCATTTCTGTAAACAAGTCTTGAGTCATGCCTCATTGCTTTATGTTGTGCTTGTTTTGTTACACTTTCTTACATTTCTTCTTTTCTTTTTCTTTTTTTTCTTTTTTTTTAAACAAGTGGCCTTGAGCAGTAGCTCTCCTGGCTTTGTGAAGCCCTTTCAAAGTTTTCCGTTGTCGGTTTTCCTTTTTTAAACCACTTAACACTGACCTATGAATCATTCAAGCATAAAAAGGCACCTAACTCAAGGGATGAGGCAGCATTGTCTGCAGGTAATACAGAACAGAGAACCACTTTTAAAGTGTATCTTTAGGCATTTGTTATTAGCAGCCTGTTGCAAAACACAATTTGTTCCAATTTCTTCAGTAGAATCTGCTAAGAAATGCAGAAGAAAAGTTTGACAGGCATAAAATTGTATTTTTGCTCCAACGAGGTGATTATCAAAGCGGCATTAAGCAACAGCTTGGTATATCTCAGCATGGTGCGCAGTGTGTCTTTAAAATATGTATTGAAATTGGACAGGTGGAAGACAAAAGCTTTTCCTGCCTGCCTCTTCTATCGACAGCAAATGAACTGTATCTGAAAATCATATCTTTAAGAAATAGGAAAAAATTCAGGAAAGACCTGACATAGGATATGAGAGATGTCTCCTCAGCACACCTACAGTTTACTGAAGCCTCATCACAAATGTTCTAAAGGGAAAGGCTGAGGTGTACCAATTACACAAGAACTGGGCAGTAAACAGGTCCTGTGGTCAGTATGTATGTGTGGGAGTGTCTACAGCCATCTGTAAAACACAATGGAGGCTATGCCATGGTTTGATGGTGGAATTCCAGCCAGATGTGTTGGGGATCTTGTCAAACTTGATGGTATTATGAATGCTGGAAAATACCATTAGATTTTGATTCACCATCTAATACCATCTGGAATGTTTCTGATTGGGAACACTTCATTCTTCACTCATCACAAACACGCTGTCAGTGCGCTACAGCATATCTGGATGGAAAAACACGTAATGGAACACCGTGAGGCATGGATCGGCCTCCCAAGAGCCCAGACCTAAATGTTATTGAAGTGGTGTTAGAGCATTTTGACAGACACCAGAACAAAAGGCAGTCAACATCCAAAGAAAAGCTTTGAATGGCCTTCAAGAAGCCCGGAGAACTGCTAGATGAAAGCTTGCCCGAGAGAGTTCAGGCTGTGTTGCAGAATAAAGGTGGTCATACTAAATATTGACTTTAAAGCTTGTTAGGATTATACAAGGTCCTTATTTGCATTATGTGCTGTATTTCCGTATGTATTTACACATGCTTCCTATTTCTCATTTTCCTTGCAAAATATAAAGAAATTAGTGATGACTCCACACTTTTGCACAGCACTATATATCTGTGCATCCCCCCTCTTCTGCAGCTTCTCATAAAAAGTAGTACTGTCCAAATCTGGCTTTTCAAATTACCATTTAGTGCTAGTTATTGCAAAGAGAAATCCTTTCTTCTTTTCAAGGATAGCAGGGAAGAAAACTCCAGGCTCAGTGGCGGAACTCACATCTTTAGAAGTTGTGCATTTCCATTTTATGCCACAGTCCAAAATGTCTCTTTTTCTTCCCCTCGCTTTTTTTTTCTTTCTAACTTCGGGATCTAAGCTTAAGCATATTCAGTTCTACATAAAGAAATGCATACTGTATTAATGTGCCAAGTCTCAGTTTTAATTGGAGTGGATTTACGGCAGTATTGAAAAGTCTTCCATAAAAATGCAGCAATTTTTACTGCAGAATTTAGGGGTCTGAGAATAATTGCAGAGATCCACATCCAAAGTGATATTTAATAATTCTTATTGAAAAGCATGTGGTGAATGACTGCTTTAAGTCTTAGATATCTGCAGACACTTTGTGTTTTCCCTGGAGATGCCCTCACAGACCTTTACTGCAGACACCTGGGGTTCTCTCCACCTTTTCTCTGCCTTCACTTTTCAAGGTACAATGCATCCAAGTGTCCAATTACCTTTAAACAGCGACACTAGAAGGACCATAACTCCCACACAATCCTTTCAATGTTGAAGTGAATCTATTAGGATTAGTATTTCTTACACTACATTTAATTCTAAGTGTCACAACCTGGGCTCTGTAGGCTCAGTGTCAAAGTAGGCCTTACACGAGTGCAAGGACCAAGGTTTCCCAGCAGAAGATTGCACTGAAACAAGATAAGCAGTTAATCGTCTTGTTGTCACTGTGGCTTACATGATATTTATTTATACATGTAAGCCACATTTATCTCATAGCCCTTGATATTTATACATAGGACTATTTATTTCGCTCAGAATACTTAAGATACTTTTTCTCATGTCCATTTTTAATGTAGGTCCTGGTAAAATCTGTTTTCACTTGGAAGAGAATATTCCCCACCACTCCGCACTTTGCAGATATTATTCTGTTATTCCCACAGACTGCATAATTTCTTTCTTCCAAGTTGAAGGCAAAGGAACTCGCATTTCCCTGCTGCCCTATTTCTGCTAAGAGAGGGCAAAGCGAGAACATTACCCCCAGAGCAAAGAGAGGGTTTGCTTCTATTACTTGTTCTGGGAGAAGTGATTGAGTCAAACACATTCCTACCAAAATTGCTTTAAACTGTGCAGAGCCAATACAGGCTTATATTTGTCACAGGAAACACTGACCCGAGGGTACATTTCAGCTAGTTTGGTCTTGGCGTGTGAGTTTGTGGGGGTGTTTGAACTGGAAATGAAACCCCCTCCCGGTGCATGCAGAGATGAAAAATAGAATCGAGTACACCAGGCCATGTTTCAGAAACCTTAAAGGTCAGATCTGAGTTTCTTCCTGTGCTGACTTTATGGCAAGCAGTTAGGCAGTCCATCTACCTGTCTCTACATATTAAATATAAATGTGTCATCATTCTCTCATTATAGGACCTGTCATGGGTACAGGGCAGGTAAAGGTTACTGGAAGATAAACAGTCACTGGTGGAATTAAAGATACAAGCAGCAGTGATCCTCATGTGACCAATGTGGAACATTATAAATGCACAAAGAATACTGCTGTATAACATGTATAGAATACAGTGCATACATCATGCATATCAGTTCATGTTTATCTAATAATGTTGACTTCCTGTTGTCACTTGATGGGGCTTTGATTGTGACTGTGACTCAATTTTGGTTTGATAAGAGCTGGACTTTTCACATTGAGTGAGACGTTCCTGTGTTGTGATTGAACATCTAAATTCATCACGCTGCAACCTAATGAAACTCTTATGAAATACTTTTTATAATGAAAGTGTTGCAATTCAGCATTAAACAGGTCTTTAGACTGAGTGAACATGATAAGTCACATAAATACTCTCAGATTGAGTTGAAATTTCGTACATTTTAAGTATGTATACTAGCTGTTGCTACAACAATCACTCGGCATGCAGATATGTTCAGGTTGGGACTCTTATCGCGCATGACATCTGGAGTAGACTAGAAAGCCTGCATGTGAACTGAAATACAGTGTTACAGTGTGAAATATATCACCAGTAGGTGTAAGTAGGTTGAAAACTGCAGTCAACTGAATTTTGTTTTTTTCCCCTCCTAATTCAAGTGCATAATCCTAGCTACAGTGGCTGTTGTAAGACAAACAACTCTGGCCACCATTCATCTGTAGTGAGTGTAGGTTGTCAGTCCACTGTTTACTTCAGCTGTCAATATGCGTCGACATCTATTTACTTTGTGAAAGGAGTCCAAAATGAATCATTCAGACAGTTACTCTGTCTGAATGATAACAGAGTAACTGAGTTGTTGAGGATTTCTTAAACTTTTCTGTCAGTAAACGCTGATGATTAGCTGCAGTTAGCTGGCGGTAGTAAAACTGTCTTTGAAGTGCATCTAAGATTGCTGCACACTTAATGAGACACAGTGTGAGAATGTAATCAAACTGTTTATCACAGGTAAAGTGTGACTTTTAGGGATTAACATTAGCTGACATAAGCACCTGTTGTTATTGTTTACCCAGCTTGTTGTCAGCTGCCTAAAGACGGGAAGGTTGTGCATCTAATCTGCTGACATTGTTTGTGAAAATGTCTGGAATAAATGAGTATGTTTATGCAAATTTTAATGTGTTGGACTCCTGACTTACGTTTAGGAAATGAGGATTGAGGTGGAAGGAGGAAGAGGAAAATGTTTTATCAGTTGCATGGTCTCTTTCCTTCGTATCTTTGCTTCTTTGGTGAAAGTGACCCCTTCCCTGACAATAAGACATCGGTATGATCCTTCATAAGTCTGAACTCTGAAGATGTAGACACAAATTAAAAATTATCCCCATGCCACACAAATGCCTACAAGTTATATTCTCCACTTCCTGTGGCATACTACATATGTGGCCACATACATTAAACCTGATTAGGTGGAACAGCTATGTCTATCTTGGCTACTGTATTTAAGATGGCAGGGCAACATGGCAGCTTCCAGAAATCTGCGCCTACTATGTATTTTGAATACATCAACTTGTTGGTAGACGTAACTAAATACTAATGATTACTGCGCAATGTTAGTATGTTCCTGTCAAATACACTCAAAAAACTACTTACTGTATCTTTAAAGATTTTTTATGTGTCCATATTTTTCAGAATTTCATAAGATAAGATAAGATAAGATAAGATAACCGTTATTAGTCCCACACGTGGGAAATTTGTTTTGTCACAGCAGGAAGTGGACAGTGCAAAGTTATGAAGCAAAAATTAGAATACAATAAGAATAA